CAGGACGCTAATAGGCCAGAGGATGTAAAGGAAGAGCTCCAGGAAGAGCCGCAGACAAGGAAACCGAAAGACGAAGAGGAAGAGAAAGACCAGGTTAAAATTCGTCTAGTTTCCGCAGAAGAAATTGATAAGGATCGAAGAGAGAAACTCGAATGGGCCATAGTTAAAGCTCATTCGGATAAAAAGAGTAAAGGAAGCTTGAATGAGACGCAAAAGCAGTTACTAGCGAATCTCAAGCAGGATTATGAGACTGTATTCGATCAAGAGAAATTGGGGCGTAAGGTAGAGGAACTAGGGACCTCCCACAGAATAGCTCTCAAAGAAGGAAGCATCCCACCCGTGAGACCACCATATCGGTTAGGGGTAAAGGAACAAGATGAGCTTCAAAAACAGTTGCAAAGTTTAATTACAAAAAATTTTATAAAGCCAAGCCAAAGTCCATATAGCGCGCCTATATGCTTTGTAAAGAAGAAAGATGGCTCTCTCAGAATGTGCGTTGATTATAGAGCCTTAAACGCTCAGACTATCAAGGATAAATTTCCCCTTCCACATATCGAGGATTTGCTAGATGAAGTAGGATCACTGAAATATTTTACTAAAATAGACCTAGCTCAGGGCTATTACCAAATCCCAGTAGAAGCGGATGATAGACACAAGACAGCGTTTGTTACAAATAGAGGATTCTTTGAATGGAATGTGATGCCATTTGGATTATGTAATGCGCCGGCTACATTTCAAAGAATGATGAATGCCATCCTTCAACCTATGTTAGGCAAGAGTACAATCGTGTATTTGGATGACATACTAATTCATAGTAGGAACGAAAAACAACACTGGAACGACGTGCGAGAAGTTTTCGGGCTCCTACAGGAGAACAATTTAGTGGTGAAAGAAGAGAAATGTGAATTCTTGATGACAGAGGTCGAATTTTTAGGACATGTTATTGCAGAAGGAGGTACGAAGCCAGCGACAGAAAAGATTACGGCTATTAATGAGTGGCCGACCCCCAAAGTATACAAAGATACGCAGAGATTTTTGGGATTAACCAATTTTTATCGCAAATATGTTAGAGACTATCTGAAGATAGTCCAGGCCCTTCAGAGACATGCGAACCAAAAGGAAGGTTGGGGAGACGAGCAAGATCAAGCGTGGGTCCGACTTAAAAGAAGACTTACAGAGGCTCCTATGCTAATATCCCCGAAACGTGAAGATCTTTATGTAGTCACAACTGATGCTTCGGATGAAGCTATGGGTGCTACAATCGAACAGCGAGATCATAATAATGGAAAGTTTAAAGGTATTGTGGCGTATTTCAGTAAATCTTTCCAGCCAGAACAGAAGAAATACCCAACAAGAGAAAAGGAATTCTTAACGATTATAGAAGTTTTGAAGAAATACAAGCACCTCTTAAAAGGTGAAACCTTTAAGATACGAACTGATCATCATTCGTTAAAGTTTCTCTTAGATCAGAAGAATATTCCTAGTGGAAGAATTACAAGATGGTTAGATTTCCTTGCCGATTACGATTTCGACATTGAATATCTACCGGGTGCAAAAAATCAAGCTGCAGACGCGTTGAGTCGCATACCGGAAAACAGAAAGATAAATTCAATAACGACAGTGGAAACTCCCTTACAGACCGAAGAGTTCCTAGAAAAGGTAAGGAAGGGATATGAAAACGACAAGAAGTTCAAAGAGGTCAAAGAAATCTTACAAGTTGCGTTACCTGGCCAACCTATGGCTCATTATATAAAGCACTTTAGACTAGATGATGGTTTAATATATTACGCACCTGCGTATGAGAGAGATGGTAACCCAAATAGATTATGCATACCCGAAAACCTAAGAAAAGAAGTCTTAGAAAGATGTCACTCCAATGCAATGGCGGGACATTTTGGGAAGTATATTACCACAGGTAATGTCAGTATATCTTACTACTGGCCCAAGATATACAAAGATGTAAGTAGACTCGTGGAAAAATGTTATACGTGCCAGACTACGAAACACTCCACACAACGGAAGCCAGGACTATTACGACCATTAGAGGTTCCCCAAGGAAGATGGTCCTCAATTCTGATAGATTTCTTAACAGGATTACCAACGACGGTTAAAAGAAATGATGCAATCTTGGTTGTCATCGATCGTCTAACCAAAAGAGGCCACTTCATACCTTGTAAGAAGAAGATGAGTGCGAAGGAAGTAGTCGAGATTATGTTAGAGAACGTATTCAAGTATCATGGTATACCTGATCTGATTGTATCGGATCGAGATTTCAAATTTACAAATAAAGTTTGGTTAGAAATTACAAACTCATTGGGAATCAAGTTAAAGATGGCTACGGCGGTCCATCCTCAAACAGATGGACAAACAGAACGACTAAATGCTACTGTCAATCGCATGTTGCGATCCTTAGGACAGGAAGAGTTGGGAAATTGGGATAACAAATTGGCGATGATGGAATTCGCTTATAACAATAGTACCCAAAAGTCGATAAAAACCACACCTTTCTACGCAGACCTAGGAAGACATCCTAAAGGAATGCACAGTGTGTTTGCAAACGGCTCTTTAACTCATAGTGAAGACTGGATCAGAACTCAGAAAGCTATATGCCTTAGAACACAGGATTACATTGTGGATGCTCAAAAAGAAAATGAGATTCAGGCAAATAGACACAGAAGGATAGAAAGCTTCGAGATTGGAAGTTTTATCCTCATACATCGAAAAGCGTATTTTGAAACAGCTAAGCAAGCGAAATTATCACCCGTTTACTTCGGACCTTTTCGAGTAGTAAAACGAATCAACGAGAACGCGTATGAAATAGATCTC